ATATTTAGAAAATTCGGAAAAATACAAGGAGTGTAACATATTGTATACGGATGCTTCAAAAGTAGATAACGAAGTAGGATATTCTTTTATAAATTCTAATACTCAAAAATTATTCAAACTTCCCTGGTCTTGTTCAGTGTTTACTCGTGAAATGCTAGCAATTAGAGAAGCTCTTAAACACATATAGACAAGTGAAGCTACCAATTGGGAATGGTGACTGACTCTATGTGTACATTATAAAAAAACTGTACATTATTTCATTTATGTTCCTTTGAGTTTGAGTTTATTTAACAATTATAACAATTATTAGTTAACTTTTTAGTGTTTGGTTTGTTTAATGTATTTGTTCTACTTGTTTAGTTAATCCATGAAATCGATTTAGTTTACTACATATAGACTGTTTTAAATAAATATTAGATTGCTTACAATTCTTTGAAAACAACAAATAAATGCATTTATAATATTTAAGCTGACTAGTAATGCCGGCGAAGCGGTTTGAGAGAGAAGTCTCGCTTTGTCCTTCACACGTGGGGGAAAGGGCTGGACTCGGAGATCTCTTGCCTGATTGTAAATATTGCATTTAAGTATGAATGTTTTTCTATTTATTTCTATCACTTATAATTTATTTAATTTTGCTACGAATTTCTGTATTTTATTTAATTTTAACTCTAAGTTACATTTCCTTGGTTTATTATAGTTTTTTTTCCCTTTGTTATATAGATGTATATATTTAATTTTTTTTATTATTATTTTTTTTTTTATGGTATTGTATATATGGTACGAATGTGCCTCACTCAGCCTTAGTACTCAGTGCCCTTAAGTGTGGCAAAATGTAATATTTCTCAATAAACAGAAATAAAAAAAAAAAATAAAAAAAATTAAGCTATTTGTTTTTATTGTTTTTAAAATTATATAGTTGACAATAAAATAAATCAGTGAGCTTGCAAATCAGTAATCTTTTTATTTAATTCATGTGCCAACAATTTGAGAAGCCAGTTATTCTGAAGTTATGTAGAGGGAATAACCCTTTCCGCCTTTGGTATAACATCCCGACCTATGGTCCACTCACTAAGGTTTTTAAGTAGTTTGCCTTCAATAAATAATATAATAGATTGCTTCATTACTTATTAGACGGATCGAAATATTTTGATCAGAATCATTTAAGTAATTCAACTTATATCTATAACTATTATCAATTTTATAATTATTATCAATTTACCGTATACAAATTTTAAACAATGGTTTATAATTCACAACAGTAACAAAGGATATGAAACTCGCGAAAATTTTATAGTTGACATAACATTCAATTCAACTCTCGGATTAATAATATTCAGAATTATATCCTTTGCCTTTTAAATTATGATTCACGCTAGATTTTGTAACAGTTAAATAAAAAATCGATACAGGGCGAGATGAAATACTAGCCATGACACTTGTTTTATTGAAGCAACGGTCAAGCGGGACAGGCCATTGTGGCAATCAATGAAGCCTCATCAACCTCTTCAGATCGTAAAATATAATCAGAGCCGTGGGTTGAAATATGCCCGCATCGGCTTTGTCGGCTCTCGTGAAGCTAGGGATGACAGATATAAAACAAATATACATAATATTATTTATAATTTAGCAACTATAGATTACCATATAAAGAAAAAGCTCGTTTGTGAAAATGGAGTTTTTTTAAAACCCGATAATTTCGTATTTTATTCCTCTCTGCTATTTTGCATAGCAGTAGACTACTTTTTGGAGCTGCAGAATACAAAATGGCACCGCTAGCACAAATAAAACAATAATGTAAAATTGTTTCATTCGAGTTTTTACTCCAACAGCTGCAATATGATATTTTTTATTTTAATTATATGGTAAACCAACAATCGATTTTACAATCCGAATTCTAATAAATCTTCTCAATTTTCAAAATCCATTAGTACTATCCTTATCTCATGTTTGGTAATAATGATCCTAGAATTGCTTGAAACAGTTAACTTCCTAACTTGAGCTTCTAGCTTATGAACCTATAACTGCTTGACTGGGAATCTAATGAGTAATTTCGACTAGTCTGTCTTTGTAGTGAATTTTTTACTCAGTAGCGTTAGTGTTGGGAAACACTATCGTTCAATTTATTGATCATCCGTGGATAAATTTTCATCTATTGAGAGGAAATCACAATTACTATAACCTAATCCTATAAATGAAATTTTCATCCATAAATAGGAATGGAGCAAGAACAAGAAGCGGCTTGGTTAAAATTGAGCGGTTAATGTATTCTTGGAAAAGTGAAGACAGGGATGCCCATCTCCCCCATGTTCGATGGCGCAAGAACCTCGATCCATGTTATTTTATTGCTCACCTTTTCTTAAAAACAGAGCAAGATAGAATTAGAAAATTCGTTGATAATTACATTAGCTGCGGTATGTTCCATGTTTTTCCCCTTGTCCCTTAGTCCAAAAATTCATAACCCCGTCGAAATTCTCCCCACAAAAATTCCTAATCCCGTCGAAATCTCTCCTCCCTAAAAAATTGAAAAACCCGGCAAAATATGCTCCCTAAATTTGATGTCGCAAATTGTCCTATGAAACTCCCTTCTGAGTACTCCTGAGTGCAGAAACAAACCCTACGCTTCCCTTTATCAATAGATCTTGTTAAAAAAACACTTTCGGGTAATTTTCATTATCCATACGCTGTCTAGAGTGTCATTAAAAAAGAGGTTTCATAATGATTTTAAACTCTACTGCCGGTAGATTTTAAAATTGTCCTGTAAATAGAGTTGTCATTTAAAGAAAGAGTTCCTTATCAAGAGCTTCCAAAATATTATGATCACATATTTCTTTGCATTGTTAATATTGTTTTGAATAAACGATATTACAACCGCGGTCATAGAAATTGAGTGCCCTGGAAAAATAAATTAACACAGTGCTGAAAAGAAATTAAATATACGTAGATTCCTTTACATACATAGAGTGTGTAGAAAAATATATTAGTTATTTTTATGCTTTTCATACTTTAACTAGGTCAGAATTAGAACACTTTTTAAATTTTACTGGATTCTCATTTTCTACATACATTTCGTAATATTAATATATTATACACTGTAAAAATCTGCTGACATGTCCACGTGCGAAGACCTCTCTGGGATAGCTTTAAATAAGATGTATATATTACTAGAAACAATAACTCCTGACAGATACAATGGCGGTAAATATACCTCTAGAGACGGAAATATTCCAAAGCCGGTGACTTCGTTAAATTTAACGTACACATGGGCCCAGAGGTTAGAGGTCGTTAATAGGAGGAGGTAGCAAACGAGACAGAAGGTTACAAGCTGACACCTCCTGTCCTATTAAACCATGTGTGCTGTCTTATTTACAAACTATATATATTTCGGTCTGCTCTCTGTGTCACACTTGCTCGGCTACTGAGGGGTGATTAAGGCAACGAAAGCCGTTCTGAAGGGAAGCTGTTAAACGACTTTTGTTCCCTTTGTATCTAGTAGCTCGAAAATAAAATAAATTCTTATAAAGTAAAACTATTGTTATATGTACTATTATTATTGGTTTATTGGCTTACTCTAAACTCTCATCTCAGCATCTATGGACCCGTTTTTTTTTATTCATTGGATAAACCGTTATTAAGTAAGGTTTTAGGCCTTTTTAACGTCACACTAACACATGTTGGAATGAATTTTTCAATTAATGAGATGTTTTAGTCACTAAAAACGAATTCATTGACTACAATTCCCTTTCCACCTTTAAACCCTGTCTATTCAATCAATTCCTATCCACCTACCTCTATTATATTATAAGTTATACTTCTATTGTATTATTTTTATTATATTATCAATTGTAAATAAGTGTAAATAAACTATTAGTTGTCTTTTAATTAACATTATTTCATTTTTATTGTTTTTTCTTATTAATTTATTAATGTGTAAAGTTAACTTATAATTTATTATTATTTCTATTTGTTTATTATTGTTCATTCTTTTTCATTTAGCTCTGAGCCTACATTTCTGTATTTGTCTTTATTTTTCCGGATTTTTTTAATATGGCGCCCGCTTTATTAAAAAAACATCCACTTACCTCCCAAATTTTCGCATTAGTAGTTATAGTAGTTCTGTATACAGATTAATGAGTACAAAAATATCCAGATAATGCGAACAAGTCAATTTTTTGGAAATTTCACCATATGTTTGGGTTTCAAGATCTCCTAAATCCAAAACTGTAGTATTGCACACATCATTATTTTTTTTTTTTGGAATAGTTAATATTTGGATAAAAGTTGATAATATAACTTTGAACGATTAATAGTTTTACTCCTCATTCAAAATTAAAGCGGTACCGTTCATAACAACGAAGAAAAATATATTTAAGTTTTTTTTTTTAGGGTGAGAACAAATGTACTTTTTCGTCTCTGCTTTGTTCTAAGAGTAAAAAATCTCCAACATTTCACATCTTTCCTAAAAATTTGGATGTGTATTCGTGATTAACATGAAATACCTATTAAGTAAGATATTAGGAGTGTTTCTGAATTTGGTCCAGGTAGGCAGGCATCATTTTTCAGTGTGCACAGCACTGAATTATTTTGCTTCTGTTGAGAAATAACTTTCGATGCATTCCCGAAGCTATTTTAATAATAATGAGGAGTAACCGATGATAAAATATGGGTGAACTAAACGGACTTTTAAAATTACAGGTAGTAAATAATTGATAAAATTTTTGTTCAAATTAGTATTACTATAGTCAAGTTTTTAGACTATTAATATAAGATTAACAACCATTTACAATCTCTAATATAACACTCCAGTATATGATTTAGTCATCCTAGAAGATTCCTGCCTGCACAAACAGTTCCAATGCAGTGGTCATTTCACAAGTTTCCAATTTAATATTAAAAGTATTCGTACAATTCAAATCAGGTATTTAGCAGAAAAAGTTCAAGAACATGAAATAAAGAATGATTTATTTATTTATTGAAGCATTACAATTAGAAATTAAACAAATCAGCATTTAGTTTTAAAGATCAGTGTGCAGTATCCCAGGTCAGGCCACTTGTCCAATTATAATTTAGACTGAAAATAAAATAATTATCAGTTTATCCATTTCTAAACATGTATTTGTCAATACAGACAAATATACAAATTGAGTAATTAATAAATAAATCACTAATATTTTATCTGTATATAATTCGACAGTATATATATATATATATTCAATTTAAATTTACCTGTGCATGAATGGCTAGAAAGCCGTCTTCCGCGTTTCCCGCTACCCTGATCTTGGCCATTCCTCCCTGGCGGACATTTATCGTGATGCCGGTACATCTTCCGTCCTGCTTCTGCCCACTCACTACGTCGCAGTAATTACCAGGAGGCAAGCATGTCTGCAACGACCATCTAATAAGTAACAAGAACATGAAAAGATAATAAGTCATTTTCGTGCTAAATGGACGTTACCTGTAGGTCTACGTCTAGATCCCAGGGCTCTCCATTAATTGCAATAAATCCCTTATCACCTCTGCAGAAAGCAACTTGGTCCTTTCCATTACTCCACCAGTCATTTACACCCGTCCCTGAAATAAATATTTATATTAGAATTTCGAAGCGAAAATTACCTGATTGACGATTCACGACTAAATTTTCAGTAATAATAAAACGAGCATGCTTAAAGACAGTATTTGGTCACGTCCCAGAGTAAATATAATTTTATTAATAACTGGTATACATTATGTGACTAATTTTAAAATGATATAGTCTTAAAATGATGATACCCTCAATCCAGTCCATGATCGATGGTCTTTTATTTTATATTATATTTTTTATTTTATCACAAAAATATTAGTAGATATAAAGAGGGATGGTTGATAAATTATTTTAAATTTCTTGGGCTTGGGAATAGTAAAAAAAAATAGTTGTCATGTTCGATGTTATACATTATCCCGTACATTTTAAATGAACTATCAAACATCTCTCTACTAATATTGATTGCGATTCTTAAACATATCGAAAACCGACCATTTCCACAATTTTTAAATAGAGATATTAAAAAAATAAAATAAACAATAGACTAGTAATATGTTATAGGTTATAACTGCATACCAAAATACCCTTGTACGAGACACAAACAAGTTTGTTAAGTAAAATAAATAAAATTATCATCATTTTTCCTTTAAGTACATTATAGGGAATTAAAGCATTTTCCAGCCTAAACTCTATTTTATCAATTTGAATTTTTTTTCGTTACCTAAATTGAATAATGAACTGCTTCGATTATTTGCATAAATAATTAATGAAGTGCTTCAAGGCTTCCGGTTATAGCGGCTATACAGTTTTTTATTTGATTGAATAAAGTTTATTTATTCCAATAAATTATTTTACCACTAATCCTTTATCTTCTTGAAAATTTAGGTAAAAATTAATTTAAAAAACAGTATTCTGATATTCAGTTGTTTTCTTAATCGAATATATTCCAGTCATTTATTCATGATTAAAAATTAACTAGTAACATTTTTTAATCAATCAAAGTACTACATATATAAATCATTAATTATGAAAATGTATAGACTTTTGTTTGAATTTTACCTTTTACGACGTTGGCGAAGCCCACCATGTTATATATCTGCCTCCATCGGTGCTCGCAGACCCATCCTCCGCCGCAAGAACCGTCTTGGTTGACAGGTACAGGGTAAGCAGGGGGTGATTGGTCCTTATCGTTAAAGCTGTAGCTGGACATCACTACTGCTCTTTCGTGAGGCCAAGCCAACATGAATCCGTTAGCCATCTGTCCAATATAGCAATTGTTACAGCATTATTTTTACATTTCATAACATAATTAGAAAATTATAAATATAATTATTTTATAACTTCTATGAAAAAAATTACTACACTACTCTATAAATGAATATTCCTAACGCTTTATGTACACTATTCACTTTGTACTGTCTGCTTTGTTTGTGCGTGATAACTTGTCTGCCGAAGACTCCGTCACGTTGGGTGTCGTGGTTGTCGATGAATACTACTGAGTCTCTCCACGGTAGTAAATTCCACTGTTCTCCTGATAAAATAAAAGAACATAATTCAGTATATTCTATTTATTATTTTGATTGAAAATGATTAAATAGTAATTATAACTACATCAGACTCCCACTGAAGTCCCATTCTGACTCTTAGATATTTTATGTAAACGTCTGTTACTACTATTATAACTCTCAAAATAACTAAATACGCACCAAAGTTATAAAACCATCTGAGCTGGTTATGGTCGTTACCATAGCTGAAGGCTCGGGCCAATTCGAAACCATATTTGAAATCCAAAGCTCCACCGATCCTGGTATATTCCTGAGGCTTGATTGCATCGCCATCTGCAGAAGAAGTTGAATTAGCTTTAAAAATTAATCAATCCAAACGACAATGTACCATGATTGTATCATTACCTTGGTTACTCAGGATCTCCTGGAAGAAATATGGTCTAGATCCTTCTGGAAACCATCTTGTGTTCAGATTTTTCGTTCGCCCGTAAATGACAGCTAAATCGTTTGGTTCCATGTGTTTAGCTGCGTCAACCCTTTAGAAAACATAATAACATTTTAACAAGAGGGCATTTAGTGATGCCGTATTCTATCGAAATGAATTCGAACAATAACGGCCACTGTAATTTAATATTAATACCCTCTAGTGTAGAGGCGAACACAAATAAAAAAAAATAATATATGACCAATAGCTTTCTGGTGCAAACACATTTTAAATAATCTTCATGATAAAATTACCATTTTCAAATTGAACAAACAAGTGCTAGGCGTTATTTGAATAACTTTTTTTCGTATTTTTATCTAGATAACGAATAAGAGACACATTTTTATTCGTTTTTCGTATTCGATGTCTTTTGGAAAGATAATTATATGTTATTCGTTATTTACAGATAACCTGCATTATATATTATTTATTATACGTTATTTTAGATGAAAAAAAGTTTCGAATAATTTTTAATAACTGTTTTTCGATATTAAAAAATCGAAAGATTTTTTCGATATAACGGCCAGAATTATGTTTTCGGGGACGATTTTTATGAAAATACGGTCGCATTTATAATTGTGCAATAACATATCCGAATTTTATTTCACTTTTCCTCAACAACATTATAACTGTTTTTAAATAGGCCAGTGAAAACAGGAGTGGTACTCATTTTCCGAGTTTTCTTTCGGTTTTCCTGTTTTAACTCTTGAATGAATGCTAGGTTATTCACCGTTTTAACAGTTTGTTGGCTATGTGGTTGTAGACGAAATATATAATAGAAAATTTTCATTCGCTTTTCTTCTTTTATCTCGTGAAAAGTTGTTCGGATATTCATCGTTCCAACAACCGAGACTGGCAATTGGAAACAAGATTGTTACAAATTTTCCGAATTTTCATTCACTTTTCCCCTTTTATCTCGGGAATGAAGGATCAGTTTTTGTGACCTTTGAGACAGTTTTCCGGCTATTTAGGCCAAAATGGGGAAATGGTGTAGAAACATTTTGGAATTTTCATACGCTTTTCCTCTTTCATCGCGTGAACGAATGATCGGTTTCTTACTTTTCCAACCAGTTTTCAGTTATGCAGAAGTGGGCGTAAACATTTTTCTGAATTTTCATTCACATTTCCTTTCTTATTTCGGGAATAAGGGATCGATTTATCACCATTCCAAAAATTTTCCGGCTATCTAGAGGTATGCGAAAATGTGGAAATGGTGTAATCGCTAAACGGATAGTGAAATTTTGATTACTCCTCTATAAGTTTTCTACCCATGTAAATGAATTAAATGAAGTCAACATATTTTTTTTATTATACTGTATGTAATATTCGTCTAATTTACCCGTTTTGATTCTATATTAATTTTCTTATAAATAATATTGATCAAATTTATTCCTGATACTAACTACTAGTCTATAACGAATACTATTTATCTATACTTAGATTTTTAATCTCATAAATGAAATTATGTTTATTTTTATTATATATTTAGTCTTAAGAATAAACTAGATCAATATTTACGTATACGAAAATTAATGAGGAGTAAATCTAAATAATAATATCCACTAGAAATGACATAATTTTCCCATTTTTGCCTACCTCTATATAGCCAGAAAATTATTGGAATAGTGAAAAATCGATTCTTCATTTCCAAGATAAAAGAGAAAAAGTGAAAGAAAATTTGGAAAATTTTCCACTCCACTTCGACATTTTCGCATACCTCCACATAACCAGAAAATTGTGGTGTGGTAATGAAAACCCGATTATCGGTTCATAGGATAAAAGAAGAAAATGAAATGAAAATTTGGAAAAAAAATTAAACTCCATTTTCTTTTTTAACATTCCTGCTAAAAGAAATTTACAGTTGAATTATTCGAAATGTATCTGAAAAACTCGAATAACAAATAAAAAGATAACAGATAACTTGAATGTATCTATTATCTAGATGAAAGATAAACTGAGCTATTCATTATTCATACTAGAAAACACGAATAAATTATTCGTTATATATTATCTATTATTCATGATAAATTTTGTCCAACAAAGCAACAAGCTAATGGAAAATTCACAAATTTGATCACCTGGCGGTAATTCAGGTTACGCCGGTATCGTTGTCATTTGCAAAGGTCTTGGTAAGCATTTTCGAGTCTTTACCGATCGAATCTGAGTAGGATAAATAGAAATTTATTTATTATTGGATATCAAAAATATAGGTTTTACGAAATATTCGACATATAACTCGAAATATCCAGAAAAACCTTAACACATTGCTGGTTTTGCAAAGTAAATGCCTACTGGATAACAAAGCCCAAATAAACGGAACAAATCTTGAATCGTCTTGTAATCTCTTATTTTTTTTACAAATTAATCTTAAATTAATTTTTGAAAATTATGATCTGTAATATTATTAGCTATTACCATCGATGCACATCGATATTTGGATGTAGTAAAAAAGAAACTTACATAAGTTATATTAATCCGTAGAAACGTACAAGAAATATGTGACGAAATGGTAAATATTATAGAAATTAGCAAATGCAATATTGTTCATTATGGTTCTGCAAAGCATTTAAGTTAAGTACCTAAAGCCAGCGACTCCAATATCGACAAGATGGTTCAAGAATTCAACGATCTTTCCTCTTACATATTCGCTTGACTGATTGAGATCATGGAGTCCCACAAGTTCACAATTGCGTGTCTGAAACGTAACAGTTAGTTTGAACAAATAAATAAATTATAGTGAAAGATTATTTCAATTAGCAGGTGCAACGACATACCTGCCATCGGTTTCCCCAATCTTGGATACCACAAGGGGGATGGAAGTCGTTGGGTCCGTATGGCACTTCTGGGTATTTCTTAGCATGAGTGTCCGGACGAGAACCTGCCGTACCAGTGGTACCCCATGGTTGGTCCGCAGACATATGGTTGAAGACAACATCCACGTATACTCTGAAAAGACAAGATGTGTTTAATGGATAAAACTAATAATGGCCAAAGGTGGAAATACATTGATGTATCTTACCTGACCCCCACGCCGTTACAAGTCTCTACCATTCTTTTAAAGGCGGCTTCGTCCCCAGACCTGCTGACCAGCTTGTAGGAGAAGGGTTGGTAACGCTCCCACCACGGCCGCCCGTTGAGTACAGGAGCCTCGTTCACTGGCGACACCTGTAGGGAGTGGTTTTATGTTATAAATGTGGTTATGTTAAATTTAAGAAGGTACAGAGATATGGCAAACAAGGATAATTCCAATAAATGGTTTATGTATGATTATCAACATCCGACTCTCTATTTCAATTATATCTAGATTGTCCCTCTTGTATATGCACGTATGTTTATTTATAAAACTTTAATTCAGTTCCTCAAAAACGTAAACCATTCCTAGACCTGTGTAAACCAATTATGGATTCGATTTATCCCCAATTTTATATCAGGAGATATATGAAAAAGTTCACTGAAAATTTTCTTTTCAATTCTTCTAAGCACTCTCGCTCAATCTCCACTGGGTTTAGTCCTAGTGACGCGGTTGGGAGAGAAGTGCACATCTCCTGGAGATCCACAGTTGGAGGGACAAGTTTGGCTCGGAGTTCTCTCGCCCGATTTTAAATAGTGTATGTAGGTATGTATGTATTCTTTTTTATTTATTTTTTAGGTTATTTTATACTTATTTATTGTATATATATTATTATCATTGTACATAGAGTGTGAATGTGATCACTGAACGCTATCATAAATTTCCTTTGAGACAGATAGTAATATTTTCAGTAAAAAAAAAAAATCTGCTAGTTAGTAGTGGAGGAGATTAAAAAAGTCCATTAAGCATTTTTTGTTAATGTTCAGGACTCCACTCAGGTCATTTACTGGTATCTTCGTTATTATTGGTTCTCTTTTCTAGGAACTATAATGAAACATAGTGCCAAAGTACATACCGAAAAAGAAAAGTTTTATCACTTGTTCGTTTTGTCGTAATCTCCAACAAGCGCCAGAATATTATTGAAATAAAATGTAAAATAATAAATATCGCCAATAATATTGGAATAAAAAGAAAACTGGCTCTAATCGGTTATATCTGAGGCACCTCAGTCATGCTTTGCTTTCAGTTTATTTCAACAAGAAACACGAATGAATCTTTTTAGCAGCAATGGCTATCGCAAATGATTTTAGTATTTGTTTATTAGACTAAATTAAGTTCAATCTGATGTTCTCTATACAGCAACACACCTACTGAAAATGATAATAAATCACCTGCACTCCTTTGTAGCCGTGAGGGGCTAAGAAGCGAACGCATTCCTTGGCCACATCGTCGTGGGACCATTCGAACATGTTGGCGATGGTATCCGCCGACACCAACGGCAGGATGGTGAGAAGAGCTGCTGTCAAGATCATGTTGAGCTATATTCCATAATCCTCGATCGGAATTATTAAATACTAATATCGAATCCCCTCTCTTTTTGAGTTGTTTGTGCAGAACCTTGATTTAATAAGTCACTCTTCCGTAGGGTGTTTACTTTCATCGATTGTTTAACGCATAAATCAATAAGAAATTCGCATAATCTGTTTAGATTTCTTTTTCCAGTTATTTCTATAATTAGAAAATAAATAACAACAGTAACGGAATTATTCATTATTAATCAACATATAAGATGTAAGCTATTTAAGCAAACGGTAAAAGAAGTATATTTAAAAACAGTTCAATATGATTCTGTAAACAATTTTTAAATAACTGTTTCTTGTTTGTAAATGAATAATAAATAAATGAAAAGTTTAAATTTTAGAAAGTGGTTAGTATTAAAAATAATAATAATAATGATATATATCAGGTTTAAATGAACGTACTTTGATTAATCAAGTCTACATTTTCACAATTCTTTTAAATAAAATTTATTTATTTATTTGGTATATTTTTGCCTCTATCCTGTAGGGTCATTGGCAACGCCTTGAAATTACACTCTGTTGCAGAGTTTTATCACTTTCGTTAACGATTTCGTCAGGGTCAGTTATAATGTCTTGTCCACTCTTTATTCCAGAGCTCCTTCATTGAAATGCTTTGATTTAATGAAGATACGAAGTCTTCCCATGACGATCTTTTGCTTTTCGGTATATATCGTAATCTTTATATCTCACTGTTTGAGTTTCTTGTAAGTGTGTTTCTTGGAGACAAACTAGTATGGGGTTCTGTTAGCTTATTGTCATTTTTAGGTGCTCTAAATGTCGGAAAAATCTGTTACAATTCCATTGAATGATTGTTTAAATAAAATAAAAATCTTTTTTTAACAGTATACAATGGAAAAAATTTCCTCGACCTATTTTACTGGAGTATCTTTTTGTTCCTGTAATTTCTTATTCATTTGTTCAGTAAAATGTTTCTTATTTCTCGCAAAAAAAAAAGAAAAAATAATATAAAAATTTGCATTATTTCATATCTCCAGATCAAATTTTTTACTAGATTCTGGTTTGTGCTAAATAGTGTATTTTATCAAGCCCTAAATCTCTGTTTCGTGTGGATAGGTCACTTGTATTTAGTGTAAAATATAACTATCAAGCGTGTTCCTCCATAAGAATATATTTGAACACAATTTGTACAAATTTTCTCGCCTCGTTGGGGAGGCACTTGACGAGTAAGTTAAGCTTGACGCACAGTTCTCCTCGAATTTTCTCGCCTCGTGAGCGGAGGGCCCTTAGACTTACGATATCAAATAAAAACAGAGTTTTTATTTATTCTATTTTTATTTATTATGGTAAAATCTAAGAAATATTTTTAAAGTTTCGAGCGGTAGTAATAGAGCTTTCTAACGATTGTAGGGACAATGAATTTATAGGTAATCATAAGGAATTATGAATGCTTTTGTGAACTGTAGTAAAAAAAAAACATCATCCAATTAACTCAAGACCAAAATCATATCCATTGACTTCAATACAATTTCGTATTAAACATTCAAAGTACGTTAGAAGCGAATCACAATTGATTTTTTTATGACACACATTCATTTAGTGCTGGAAGCGAATTTTATATGAATATCGTTCAAGAAATAAATATGAGTACATTTATATATTTTTGATTTTCTAAATAGGGCTTTAATCCTATATCACAACTTCTTCAGACGAGACTTTTTGGTTCGTGGTACAAAGGTGCCACGAGGTACGCTTTAAAGAACAATCGAAATCTCCTAAAACAAAAAAAAAAAAAAAACAACTGAAATGAACAAAAAAACTGTTTCAAAGCACTCATGATTCATCAACACTTGTATGCGAATTTTATTCTCACATTGGTGTAGAGACGCAAAAAAACTTGTAGTTAATCGAATAGGCTCTAAGTCAATGTAGAAATGCAGCTTCATGTTAGTGAATTATTTAATACTCTATACATGAAAAAACAAAACAATTATTTTGTAAAATAAATTTATAATTGCAGCGATGCAGGTCATTCAATAGTTTTGTGGAATAAATGTCTATTGACAGCATTGAAGATTTTTATTAATAGCAGTCCTACTTACTCATGCACCTCACATCACAATAGTAGCTGATACAGGACTAAATTTTTTATTTTTTTTTTTCGTTTTTCTCAAATCATATGAATGATCTGTGGGATACACGTGGAGGCCCCACTAAAAAACTTGTTGTAACATCTCAGGCATATGCCTATCTTAAATACATAAAACCAGTTTCTTACGAATTTTCGTTTATGAGTTAGGCTGATCACTCACACATACACAAAGGCCATGTAGAATCAAGAGACATCAAAACGTGTATTTCCGTTGAAAACTCAGACTCGAACATTTTCACGATCGCAATACTTTCTCTTAATATGAAGTAAATGAAAGTAAAAACGTGATTACTGGAACAATAGCGCTCTAATAATTTCTTCATTACTGAAGCTTACTAGTTGTATATTTATTATAATTTAATAAGAAAGTATATTGCGATGTTTAAGAATTTAGCTCAGACCACTTAGCACAAACGGACCAATGAAAAAACATTTTTTTTTTCTATTTTTAGAAGAAGAAGGTTCAGCGCAATAGGCTTCTTCCTACAAAATCATGTTTTTCATTTTGGTTGGAATGGTTCAGCAAACTCCTCCAACGAAAGTATTATTTCATTTTTTGTGAGGACCAAAAGTTTCTTCTCCTCTCTCTCTCCATAGATTCGCCAATTCCTCATAATATTTGTTTCTATTTTTAAGCCAATGTAGCTAATACACATTATTGTGTTGAAGGTGCCTTTTTTTTTTAGCATTTACCTTATTTTATTCAACTTCAAAATCATTGTTTTGAGTTTGGGTGATGGAATTCGAAAACGTTCTCTTTCCACATTCAAACTAAAGTTATTTCTGATTCTGAATGTTTTTCTTCAAGGAACGATGGTTTGTTGACTATCAAAATCATTAAGACGTACCTTATCAGTTATGAAAAGTCGTCACAGTAAAACTGTATTTAATATTTCGATATTGCAAGTGAAATAAAATTTGTAGTAATAGCGTAAAAAAAATATTAGTAAAATCATATCATTTGAAGTATTAGCCATCTTTATGAAACAGTGCCATATGTACTTTTTACTTGAACTTCGTAGTTTTGTACAATGTTATCATGGCATGAAATTGTTATCATGATACGAGTATAAACTACTAGTACGATAGTATTACTATTTGCTAGTAAGTATAGCTATTGATGACTAAAAGTTTATCTTAAGGATAGATTTATCTTTCTTCTAAACGGTGATAGAGTCCAAAAACTTGTTCAATGAATTGAAATAAATCTTCCCAAAACTAACCTCTCCAACAATAATACACAGGTACAATGAAATAGTATCTTTAACAATATCATTTACTTGAATCCGTGGGTTTTAAATACTTTTTCAAACTTAAAAAAATTTTAAAGTTTACATTTGGTAAGAAAATTACATTCGATTTCTTTGAAAGCATTTGATTTACGTAAAATCATTTTAGGTTTTAGAAATCATTATTTATATTTTTTTCGCCACTCTCCGTTACCTTCTACAACTTTCTGTATTACATATTGTTTTTTTAAATTCTTCGTTTTCTAACAATATTTTATTCTTATACATTCTGACTAGTATTTACGGAGATTAATTATCGACCTGGGTAATCATTTATATTTTTTGTTCTCCTTTATTCAATTATTAAATTCTTTTAAAGGTTACATTTAGCATTTTTTTGTAACTTTTAATAATGTGAAATAGTTAATTATTTGAAATAGAAAATTAAATTAATGAATAATTTTATGAATCTTATCTTTGTGATATTCCAACAGTATCCACTACTATTTCATTGAATTTGCTGGAAGAAGAAGTGAAATATAATAATATTTCATAGATAAGTTTATAATCTTAAATATATTAACTGTACTTTAATAACTCTAGATCTGAAATTATATTTAAAGATATAGATATCTATCGCCCGTTTATTTAATAACCATAAATTTCATTTTATGAACTGAGTTTGTGAGAAGTAAATGGTGATGCCTACTGTTTAAGTTTTAACATAAAACAGCAATGATCTTTGACTATTATTTTTATTATTTATTTATATCTCTCTTCACCTCAGGTTCTTTGCTTTTTCTTCGAGTATATATGTTTATATTTTATACTTTTTGTCTCTCTGTGTACCAATATGAGTAAGTACGTATATATAGTTCCTTTTTTTACCTTTATACCACAATTAATCCTGAGATTTTATTTTATCTTAGTGTTTGCTTATTATTATATGAATCACTGTAAATATTATTACATTTTGTATTAAATTATTTTTCTATTAGATAGCCTATTGTTTATAAATTGTGCAGTTATGTATATATAGATATGTAATTTCTTTTCTTTCTTTTTTTTTTTTTCATCATAATAATAAGTAATTTGGAGAAGATTGTATGTTCATTTATATATATATATATATATATATATATATATGTATGTGTATGTGTATGTATTTATGTGTATATTATATATATGTATATTATGTATATATATATGTGTGTATTAGTGTATATATATATATATATTATATATATATATATATATATATATATATATATATATATATATATATATATATATATTTTTTTTTTGTTTATTTCTTAGTGGTTACATACTACTTTTTAAATAATGTATATAATGTTAGAATTTTTGTAAGTTAGTTTTTGGCCAGATATATATTTTATTTTGTATTAATTCATCTTTGTTATTCTAAGGGGACTTAGTCCCAGAATAAAGTTCTATTTTCTAAAAAAAAAAATAATGTAGATTTAAGAAAAAAGAATTGGTTGTTTATTTATTGAAGCATAACAATAATAATTGAACAGTTCTGGATTCCTCTAGCTGGATCAACATGTAGTATCCAATGTCAGGTCTCTAGTCCAATTATAGTTTAGACTGAAAATAATGTAAACATTAGTTTTTTCTTTTGTAGTATTATGCTTATAAAAACAACGTATAAAGTAATTAATAAGAATAGCGATGTTAAGTATTGTATAATAATATTTAATAAATTGTTAAATGAATCAGTAATACTTAACGTAACATACTTAACAATACTCTGTATATTAGTTATGGTTGTTTCCTTTGACAAAACATGTTCACTTTAAATTTACCTGTGCATGAATGGCAAGAAAGCCGTCTTCCGCATTACCCGCTACCCTGATCTTGGCCATTCCTCCCTGGCGGACATTTATCGTGATGCCGGTGCATCTTCCGTCCTGCTTCTGTCCACTCACCACGTCGCAGTAATTACCAGGAGGCAAGCATGTCTGTAACGAACATCTAATTAGTAACAAGAACATGAAAAGATAATAAGTCATTCTTGTACAAAACTGAAGATACCTGAAGGTCTGCATCCAGATCCCCGGATTCTCCATTGATTGCGATAAAACCCTTATCACCTCTACAGAAAGCAACTTGGTCATTTCCATTGGTCCACCAGTCGTTTACTCCCGTTCCTGATATAAAGATTTATGTATGCATCATTTATAAAAATGAACATGCCTAAAGACTTATTATTTACTTAGTAGACACTGTTCAGTGTAAACAGGCCTTTATTAACAGCAGTTATATATTATGTGGTTAATTTGAAAATTACATTTTTCTTTTCAGTTACTTTTAACGACAAATGATTAAAGGCTTATCCGATATTCATGATCATTATTATAGTTATGTTCGCCATAAATGACTTAAATTCAGAAATAAATAAATGTTAAATCGAAGATATAGATGATTGCCTTAAATGTAATTATAAAATAAACACTGTTGAGCTATGCTCGATGGACTTTTATGAAAATAAAGTATTTTTATATGATAATTTCCTATTTATGGATTCATTACTTTATTGCACAATTAATTAGTTGATGGAAAATAAATTTTTAGCATGATCTTTAGAATTTATATGTTTATAGTGATGTATCATTTAAATGGCGTAACTTATACTCACAAACTATGTTAAAAATTTATTTTATCTTCATTAATCTCAAAAATATTCGTAGATATAAAGTCAAAAGATTTGTTGATTTTGAAGGAAGACCAGAGACACGATTATTATTATTATTTTTCTGTTTTATTTATTGTAAAAAGTGTGTGAATGTGCTCTCTGAACACTACTATAAATGTAAATTGTGACAGATATAAAGATGGTGGTTGATAACTTATTTTAAATTTCTTGGGTCTGAAAGAATTTAAAAAAAAAGTTTGTCATGTTAGATGTTAAAAAAATCCTTTAGATTATAAATGAACTATCAAACATCTATCTAGTAATATTGGTTGTAAATGTTAAAAATATTTAAAAGGATCGAACTTTAGTTTAAAATCAATTTTTAAAAATATATTCTGATTTTTAGTTGTTTTCTTAATAGGATATAGTCAATTTTCATAATTAAAAATTGTAAAAAAAACTTTTAAAATCCCTAAAATATTGAAATCCTTGATGACGATAATTTATAGCCTTTGGTTTCAATTTTACCTTTTACAACGTTGGCGAAGGCCACCATGTTATATATCTGCCTCCATCGGTGCTCGCAGACCCATCCTCCACCGCAAGAACCGTCTTGGTTGATAGGTACAGGGTAAGCAGGAGGTGATTGGTCCTTATCGTTAAAGCTGTAGCTGGACATCACTACTGCTCTTTCGTGAGGCCAAGCCAACATGAATCCGTTAGCCATCTGTCCAATATAGCAATTGTTCCAGAATTATTTTAGCTTGTTATTATTACATTCTTAAATCCATAAAAAAAATCTACACTACTCTATAAATGAATATTCCTAACGCTTTATGTACACTATTCACCTTGTACTGTCTGCTTTGTTTGTATGTGATAACTTGTCTGTCGAAGACTCCTTCACGTTGGGTGTCGTGGTTGTCGATGAATACTACCGAGTCTTTCCACGGTAGTAAATTCCATTTTTCTCCTAATAAGAGAAGGATTATTCATATATTCTATTTATTAATCAGATTAAAATAATTTAATATCAATTATAAATAAATGTGATCTGATTCTAATAATCTTAGATATTTTATTTCAACGTCTATGCTATCAAAATAATAATGTACGTACCAAAGTTATAAAACCATTTGAGCTGGTTATGATCGTTACCATAGCTGAAGGCTCGGGCCAATTCGAAACCATATTTGAAATCCAAAGCTCCACCGATCCTGGTATATTCCTGAGGCTTGATTGCATCGTTATCTGCAGAAGTTGAATTAGCTTTAAAAATGGATCAATCCAAAATACAATGTACCATGATTGTATCATTCATTACCTTGGTTACTCATTATCTCCTGGAAGAAATATGGTCTCGTTCCTTCTGGAAACCATCTTGTGTTCAGATTATTCGTTCGTCCGTAAATCACAGCCAAATCGGTTGGTTCCATGTGTTTAGCTGCGTCAACCCTTTAGAAAACATAATAAAATTTTAATAAGATGGCATTTAGTGATGTAGTATTTTATTGAAACAAATTAAAAGACTAAAGGCATATTCCAAATTATCTTCATAATTCAATTATCATCGTCATATTGAATAAACCAATGTCGGGTGTTATTTAAACTTTAACTAATGAAAAATGTACAATTTTGATCACATGATGGTGATGTCATTTTACGGCGATATGATTGTTATTTGATAAGGTTCGAATCTGCTGAAGGTGTCGAATCTGATTGAGGTGTGTAGAAATTTATGCAATATTTGATGTAAGAAATAAGTGGTATACGAAATATCTGAACCCAGGAATACATTAACTTATAGCTGAGTTGGTAAAGTAAATTCCTGCTTGATATCTAAACCCAAATAAGCGGCAAATAATCTCGGATTGTCTTGTAATCTCTTATTTTCTTACAAACTAAACTTAAATTTATTTTAAACTCTAATACAATGAGCATTTACCATCAGTGCTTATCTGTATCTGGATATAGTAAAAAAGGAAAAAGAGTGACATAAACGATATTAATCCGGATAACAATTAATAATAATACTAAAAAAAATATTGTTCAGTCCGGAGACAAAGCTGAAGTACCTAAAGCCGGCGACTCCAATATCGATAAGATGGTTCAAGAATTCAACGATCTTTCCTCTTACATATTCGCTTGCCTGATTGAGGTCATGGAGTCCCATAAGTTCACAATTGCGTACCTGAAACGTAACAGTTAGTTTGAATAAATAAATAAATTATTGTGAGGAACTATTTCAATTAGCAGATGCAACGACATACCTGCCATCGGTTTCCCCAATCTGAGATACCACAAGGGGGATGGAAGTCGTTGGGTCCGTATGGCACTTCTGTGTATTTCTTAGCATGAGTGTCCGGACGAGAACCTGCCGTACCGGTGGTACCCCATGGTTGGTCCGCAGACATATGGTTGAAGACAACATCCACGTATACTCTGAAAAGACAAGGTGTGTTTAATGGTTAAAACTAATAATGGCTAAAGATGGAAATATATTGATGTATCTTACCTGACCCCCACGCCGTTACAAGTCTCTACCATTCTTTTAAAGGCAGCTTCGTCCCCAGACCTGCTGACCAGCTTGTAGGAGAAGGGTTGATAACGCTCCCACCACGGCCGCCCGTTGAGTACTGGTACCTCGTTAACTGGCGACACCTGTCGGAACATTATCAATTTTATTAATGTATAAAGTTAATAATATTAATTTTTATCTTTTATAGTTTCATAGAACACACCGATATGTTATAAATGTGGTTATATTAAAGTTAAGAAGGTATGGGATAAAGATATGGCAAAACAAGGATAATCCCAATAAAAATGGTCTGTGTAATTTCTTTTTCTTTATTTTTGGTTCGCAAACCTTGTAAATCTTAAGCTGCCTGAACCAGCCGTCTCTTATTCTTTCTATCTTGGGAAATTGTATTGCTGTTTAAAGCATATTTGCTGATTCTATCTGTCATTTGTTTCTGCCGTCTTATTATCCATACTTCATGTCATGAGATACTAATTGACCATTTTCTGTCAGTAGTTTATTTTTGATATTTTGCCTCTATCCGTTAGATCTCTGATCCAAAATCGCTAATTTGAGATATTAAAAGATTTTCATACATTTCGATATCTTTGAAAGAGTAGAGGTATGTTTTTTGCATACAATCAAAATTGAATTAATCCCTTTTTGCAGTATATCAAAGTTAAATAGAAAATTTTATTTTGTTCTTATATTTATAACCTCCCTCTCTCTCTCTCTCTCTCTCTCTCTCTATATATATATATATATATATATATATATATATATATATATATATACTATAATTAAATTTAACATCAAAACGCAGCATATTTCAAAGTTTTCACCAAAATGTTCGCTCATCCAATTAACAAAAATTTCATTAAAGCCAGACAAGCTTAAACAATCCTTCAATTGATGAGAGGCCCCCAAACTCTTTATACTTTTTCAGCATGATCAGATAAAATCTTTGCCTTTATGTATCAAAATGGAGTTTCCGAATGAGCGGATCGGCATTCCCTTGAATTCTTTCTCAAATTTTAGAGCAGTACATTATTTGTATTCACTCTAATTAATTAGCGAGTACTCCACGTTAATACTTTGTGGAACAATTACTTCTAATCGGATCATTGGCTCAACATTTTGAGAAATGGACACGTAGCCTGTCTTCATCAAATTATTATTGTATTGAAGAGATTTACGTTTAGTATTTGAGAAGGAGCTATTATTAATGTATATTATGTTCAATTTGCCATACACCTTAATATACGAATGCTGTACATACCCCAAAGTTTTTTCGGCGGCAGTGAACCCGGTGTTGTTGTAATTGTAAATTTTCTAGGAACTAATGTAAAACATAGTAATAAGTACACTGCCAAAGAAAAGAAATACTATCTCTTATTCATTTTGTCCTGAACTACAACGGATGCCATAATCTTCCAAAGTCGGCAATAATAGGCAAATTAATGAGAATACGTAAGGTGTACCAATAATATATTTTAGATACTGATTTGTTCGGGCTACAATATATTGAAATAAAAAGAAACCTGGAGAAAAGACAAAATCATTGCTAGGTCTAATCCGTTATAACAGAGTTACCTCAGTGATGCTTTGCTTTCAGTTTAGTTTCACAATAATCCACGAATGACTCACTCCACCATTAGTCGCTATTGCCATTTTCTTAATATTTGTTTATTTAACTTTAAGTTCATACTTAATTCCTTTATATGGGAAAACATTTTATCAGAATGATAATAGATTACCTGTACACCTTTGTAGCCGTGAGGGGCTAAGAAGCTAACGCATTCCTTGGCCACATCGTCGTGGGACCATTCGAACATGTTGGCGATGGTATCCGCCGACACCAACGGCAGGATGGTGAGAAGAGCTGCTGTCAAGTACATGGTGAGGTATGCTAGACAATCCTCGATCGGGGTTATTAAATACTAATATCGAATCCCCTCTCTTTTTGAGTTGTTTGTGAAGAGTCATTATTTAATAAGTCATTTTTAGGCACGGTGTTTGCTTTCTTCAATTCTTTAACACGTAAGCCAATAAGGAATTAGCATAGTCTGTTTACACTTATATTTCTAATGCTACTATAATTAAAGTACAGTTAATTGTTACTATATTGTACCCGTACCACTATATGCCAAATATACATTTTTTTTATTAACCGGAAGGGTATAATTAGATGCCCAAAGCATGTTGTCCCGATTAGGTCGTTATTATTATGATAATTTGAACATTGCTCTAGCTATCCATATGTAACTTAGCTAGGATTTAGGACATTATAAACAACAAGAAATGACAAAACCTAGACTCCCGAAGATCCTGAGGAATTATGACTGCTTTTGAGAACTGTAGTAAAAACATTCTCCAATAAACTCTAGTCCAAAATCATACCTTTTTATTTCAATACGAAATTGCATTAAAAAGTTTTAAAAGACGCTAGAAACGAATCACAGTTGATTTTTCTTGACAAAAATGTATTTAGCCTACAGAACTGAAAGCCAATTTTGAATTTGTTTATACATTTGATTTAAATTAAAATGATAGTCAATATTTTATTATTATTTTCACAAACAAAGATACTAGAAATTGTCATCTTGTAATCTAGAAATCCATGTAGTAAATAATACTATACCAAATGTTAAAGTAGTATACATTTTTTTCGTGGCTCCCTAAGATGGTTTAACTAGAACTCTGGGATATTTTTCAAACCAGTAGCATTAAAAATCGTTCCATTGAAATCGATATAACCAAGTCCATAACATCTCTTGTAAATATATTTTGATTTACAAACAACGCGACTTAATGATACTGCCATGGTTGACATTTTTAATAAATTACTGCGCTCTTCATGTTCTAATTTTCTCTGGATGGAATAAATTCTGACAAAATAAATTTCGTATATATTTGCTAGGATTAGAAATTCGATAGTTTAAAAAAAAGGCTAAATTATAATTATATAATTATTATATTATAATCTGTTGAGCTATCTATTTTTGTGTAAAACTATTTTATAATTTTCGGTGTTTTCGAGACACAATTCGTTGCTGTTCAACTCCTTTGAAATCTGCTTTTAAATATTTTCAAATATATTCAAATAAAAACTTACGACACAATCGCACAGTGTCATGAAGCTCTAAAAACTTAATGAAATTATTACAACTCAAATTATAGCTTTGGTAATATTATTTTTTCCATAAATTATTTACACAAGCTGTTACAAAACTATAAAAAATAAAATTTACTTTGGCTGAAAATCTATTAAATAGTTACGAAATAAAATGGCACCGAACATAAAAAATATGACAAGAAAATTTACTTTATTCTTATAGTTATTTTAAAGTTATGCCGAAGAATATGGAATATGGATATAACATAAAAAAAAAAGAAATATATTAAAATTCTATTGTGAATAAACGAGAAAAACAATATAAACAAATAAAAGATACCATGATAACAATCACAGGAAAAAAAGATGCCTATGAACTCTTAGGCAAGTGGTAGATAGCTTTGTCTATAAGTCTACGGAACTCCTACCTGACAGAATCGTAGGTTAAGCACAGAGAGTCTTTGCTACCACAGGTTGCCCAATTATTTTTATGTGATGTTCATTACAATGCTTGACCGAAGATAGATGAGTAGACAAAGGGTGGGTATACCAAGGAAACTCTGCAAACATATGTGCAAAGTGCATGTCATCTAGAGCAGGAACATCTGGAAAAAAACAAGTTTTTGCCTTTTGTGCCCACATTAAATTTTTATAAGCAATTATTAATGGCCAACTGTATAAGTATTTTGTTTAATTGTTAATCAATAAACCTGGTATATACTACATTACATATTTTCTCGTTATAAATATCTAGTAATTTCTTATTTTGTATACAGCATGTTATTCGTTTGAATTTTTTATTTCTATGATGTACGGAGATCCTTTTTGTTGAAAGAACCGACATAAGCCGGTAGAAAATCATATACTATTTAATAAACTCTATTGCAAATTGAATTTGAAGCAAGACTTATGTGTTGTAGTGTTGTCCAACGTTAAAAAATAACAAAAAGCGTTATTGTGTCTTTCCGAGGAGTTATTGATAAGCTAGTGATGTTTGCTGAATAGATATATAAACAAAAACACATTAGTAGATTGAAGGTTCTCATTTCAGGTTCGACCCACCCATCTGCAATCATTTGTCGTCTTAGATATGGAATAGCTGGACGGTTCCAACAACGATTATATACGAATCAATAAATCTGATTTGAATTACTAGTGTAAAATACTACATAAAATGTTTTGTTCCATTAGGACAAGAAACTGCGAGGACGCTTGCAATAAGATAACTTGGGGTATTTCTCTCTTCGGTATGTTCCCAATGAACGAACGCTTCCAGCTTGATGCCAGGCTAGTGGTAGTTTCCGCGTTAATCATGGTGGTTCTCTCGGCCAACTCGGTATATTGGATGTTGAGCGAAAGGATGCTGGTAGAAGGAATTTACCATTATATCATTTATTACTGCAGGAAGTTCATTGAGACTTTCACTATAATTGTAATTACAATACAGTTCTTAGTAAAGAGACACAGATTCCGATCCATAGTCTACAACTTGAAGACCGTGGAGAGCGCTCTAGCAGAGGTTGGGCAGCGATGGTCGTGGGCCTTACATCCTCGCCATTACTTGCGAGCGCCCCTCCTCACCATCCTTCTGATAATACTGCCTTTGCGATCGGAAATCTCCTTCTGGATAGTCATGCACATAGACATATTGTTCATTGGCGTCTATGTCTTTCACGTTTGCACATTCTGCGATATGCTGAAATACTGCTTGATTCAGATTCGCACTACTGAGGAATGCACATATCATACAAAGCTGTACAATATGATCGAAAACTCCTACGAGGATCTAAATGCAATCAACGGAATCGGTATCTTTCTAGTGTTTGTTAGCTACTTTCTAAATCAGTTACATCAGTTGTATCAAATTTTCAACATAGACAACATTTCAAGTACAAGATATGTTGAACTATTTTGTGCTGCTTTGTATTATGGCTCAGTTATGCTGTGGATTATTTTTACGTTCAATGGATTAGCTTCTGAGGTTGAGTAACAGTAATTACTATATAATAATATTACTTATGTTACAAAAAGAATGGTTAATTATATGAAATTAGTATTTTAGGTATTTAGAAGAATTTTAGGTATAAATCAGTCTATGGTTATAATATTTGCAAGCTTTTAGAAATTTACTTGATGGTTTTATTTTATTTTATTCATTGCACATAATGATTATCAATTATATTATATTAAATAAACATCTTAAATTTTAATGTGGAAAAATATAAATTCCGGACTATGGAAACCAAACAAACATACTTTAAGAAATTCATCATTAGCTTTATGGCTTTATAAAATGATTTTTACGATCACGATTTACCCCAAACTATTTAAAGGAAATAGTGCTCCAACTGTAGTCCTGTGGTTTAAGTATGTTCTGATTTTCTTCGCAATCTCATCTAGATAAGGCATTTATATAATGCAGGTCTTTTTTCGGGTTAATTGACATATAACCCATTTGTGAAAATTCAGTAGAATAGAACTTAGTATCGATTAGTTCAATAGTGCTGATGATCAATGACAAAAAAAAAAATCATAGTATTAGATGCGTCTATAAGTAGTACCATATGTAATAAACATATCTAATTACTAAAAAAATATTATGATTACAAATTAATCGTTTACTTTCAAAGGGAATATCGAAATTTTTGTAAATCGAGAAAATCCTTTGTAAACACCCTTAATAAATTTGATGGAGTATTTTTTTTTTTTTTTAACTGAACTCACGTATTAAGAATAGTGGAGGGAAAATTATTTCCAAAACTGATCTTTTTCTTAAAGGAAGTTATGATACTTGCATTTTTTAAATATTTAAAAAAGTCATCGAGGTTTTTAAAAATTTCATTTCAATTAAAAATATACTTTTTTTCTGTCCATTTTTCCTAAAATTGGTATCTTAAGGTTTTATTTTTTACATAAATTAGGCCAATATTCACCAATGTTTTATTTATAATTTATTTTATTTATTGTTTCGACCATACTAAGGGCCATTTTCAAGTCTTAATGAGTCCTCCGTTATATATTCATTATTAATGTCTCATTATTTTGTTCAGTGAACATTAAAATGTCCTACTATTTAGGGGTTTCGCCTACGTCATTTCTGGAGGGACTGAAATAAAGTAATAAAATAAAGTCCCTCCAGAAATTACGTAGATGAAACCCCTAAATAATAGGACAATTTAATGTTCCCTGAACAAAATAATGCAACATTAATAATGAATATATAACAGAGGACTCATTAAGACTTGAAACTGGCCCTTAATATGGTCGAAACGTCGTAATTAATAGCTTATAAATAAAACGTTGGTGAATATTGGCCTAATTTATGTAAAAAATAAAAATATACTGATTTTATTGTATCCTTATTTTAAACAAGAAGTTAAATTTTTAAAGCATAGTTAAAAAACAAAAATTCTCCTAATCATATGTCTCTCAAAGCAAAACTGTTTATTAGTTGTAAAACAGAGTTTTGAATTTGAATACGTTCTAACAGCGGTTAGATGTTCTGTTTTAATTTCTTTCAAAATAGTCATTGATTTTCAAAAGCATGTGCTACAAATATAAGGATTCTTATTGCTTCCTCACTATCGAAGATAGGGAAGCACTGTATTCGTGCGAGAGCTTAAAACAAATTTTGTGCTCAGAATCGAAAATTTCCACTCGCGTTTACGTTTCAGACATCAAAAATCAAATATGGTTCGGTGTCTGTCTGTATTTAAATCGACGTGACGGTAACAAATAAACGGTATCACCTGGTACCGTTCATCCGATTTCTATGAAGTTGACAGAGATTGTGCAGATTGATGCTAAT